CACCCAATAGTCTAGGGGGTGCAGCTCTGCTCCAACTTTGGCAGAGGCGTCTCCTTGCTCCCCCTTGTCTCCCACATGGAAGAATTGGCCCGCGGTGCGCTCCTTCTTCTTCTCCGCACCGCCGTTGCCCTTCGGGTTGTTGTCGGACGAATCAGCGACCATGTTGGCGCCGTTTTTCTGGTTCCTCCGCGCGCCGCCATCCTGGTGACGATTCTGGGGGGTCCATCCATCGGGTTTCTTATAGCACAAAAACCAGGGGTGCCCTTCCTTCTCACAATACCAGCAACTCCCTTTCATTTTGCCACCAGCACCCGACTTGCCCCCACGTCCAGATTTCGCACCGCGACCCCAACCGGTACCTCCTTGTTGGTCGTTGGAGTCGTCGTCTTTCTTTGCACCGCGTCCAGCACCACCGAAGCCACGTCCTCTGCCACGTCGGCTCCCTTGCATCCCGTAGCCGCTGCTGCCGTCGTCTCCACCCCTCAGTTGGCGGCGACGGAAGTCCTCCTCCAGAATCTTCGTCCGCACCCACTCGAGCGTCCACAAGCTCTGGTTCTGCGGCAGGCTCAATCCGCTCGTAAATTGAAGCCACGATTCTGGCAGCAGCGAGAGCATCTTCAAGCACTTGGTCTGCTCCGGGTAGGTGATTCCCGCGGTCGCCAACTTCGCGTAGAGGTCGCGCATCTTGTCCAGGACTGGTTGCACCGGCTCTCCCTCGCTCAGGCGCAACGCGGACAGCTCCCTCTCCAGCATCAACGTTGCGACAACGGAGGTCAGGGCGTGCAGCTCCTTCAACACGGTCCACGCCTTCGGACCGCATTCAACCTCCGGCAGCAGGTGCATGACGTGGTGACGCTGGTTCAGCTCCAAACTCTGCGACATCAAATAGTAGCCAGCCGAGGAGTGCTCGTCCCAATCTTCCTGCAGCGTGGGGTCACTCGGTCTAGGCTCCTCCCCAATCATTAGTTTCAGCAAACCGATCTGACGGAAATATAATTGCATTTTCCAGGCCCAATCATCATAGCCCTCACCATTGAACTTCTCGATGGTGAAATTCTTCAGCACCTCCTTGACAAGCGAGCCCTGGTTTGTTCGCGCTCCCCTTGGCGCTGAAAGACCAGAATCTTGGCTGCCGCTACGATCTTGGGCTGAAGATTCACCAGCTCCCGCCGAGGTGTTGCCCGCCATAGCTACCTATAACGAGGATCACTATAACGCAGCTCTGATACCAGCTTGTTGGTGTAAGGGCCTAATAAACTCAAGCTATTAGGACTTAATCAAACTTAAAACCTCTCCTCGGGGTCACCTCCAAGGGTCCCTGGGTGCCTGGTACAAGACCAGCCCCTATCCTCGGGTCCGAGTTTGTAGAGAGAGGGATCAAGAAGGACTTGAACGTCGCGCAGCGTGCCGTGCAGACCGTCGGTCGGATTAAGCTGAGAATTCGCTATATCGAAGCTCGCTCCAAGAGCTTTAAAATGAGCCAAGTTGCCTCGCGAAAAGTTCTGCCATTACTAAGTTATGGCTCGGACAGCGTTTGCCTAGCGTTTGAGTGCTAGCATACTAGCGTTGACTCGGGTAGCATTTCGCCGTCGAATAGCGCAGAAACGAAACTCCAGCGAGGAAGGAATTCGCTTGAATCAATTTTACTATATTCAGGTACAAACAGAGAAGGATTAAATAGTTCTAGCTAGCAAGGACCTTGGGAATCAACCTGGGAACAACCAGGGATGATCCCAAATAATTCCAAGCAACAGAACCAACCTGGCTGGACAAAATAGCAGGTGGTAGGTTGGTAAACAACCTCTGGTTCTGTTTTTCCAACCTGGGAAAACAACAACCAGGTTCAGGTTCTAAAAACAGAACCTGTTTTGTCTTTGCCCAACCAGCCAAATGCTGGTTCCGCTGGTTTCCCCTGGCCTTGTAGCATGCAGATACAGACAAACAACATCCAACCTTCACCTAAATTGTACCCCTATAGTGCCTTCCCTGCTACACTATAGTTAACCAAACAAAACAGTACAATTTCGAGTTGGATAGAACTGAATCTGCGCAATCAACTCAACCGAACTGCAAAGCTTCCATCTTGGGTTCCTTTGCGAGCTCGTCCTTTCTGCTTGCACTGTTCATAGCGCGTACAATGTTGTGCCGAAGCGCACATTGCGCGAGTACCTGCAAATGCATCAAGCGAAAATTGCGAAAGCAAACAAACACACGAACATTCCATTCACACCCAAATGCATTCGCACACGCATACTCGTACAAACAGACGGCAGGATGTCGTGCAATGTAAATTTGCACCCAACAACAGTCACAATAGGCTTCAATGTGCCTAGAACGAGGATAGAGTGCACAGTCGGATTTCTGCAAAGCGGCTTTAAACGTTCATAACAATCTGATCACAACATTAAATGACCTCATTCAACTTGGAACATGAGCGTCCTAACGTCGCCTACAAAACGCAATTTAGATCGCTCAATTTCATTAAGATTTGAAGACACAGCGTCGGTTTGAACGAACGGCACTATGGCAGCAATATAGACTGCTACACACACCTGCGACATGCCGAACGTTCGACACACGACAAAATAGAAACCGCGCACGAGACACACGACAAAATAGAAACCGCGCGGGACTCACAAAATGACCACGTTAACACGCAACTAGTGATAACTCGGTATTGACTCGACACACACATATGACATCATGACCCATCATACACACACTATTATAAGCATGAAATATATATTATTTCATGCCCTCATACCATTCCATGCACACATGCATGCACGCACACGGACAACAAGCCGAGTGCAACGTAGGGTTGCACCAACACAGCATATGAACCCTCCAACACTTGTCATGTCCTCTGGTTCTGATGCATATGAAGCATCCGAGTAGGCGGTGAGGAACAAACGCCCGGGTTCAACACCATCCGCGCCCTTTTGGCGCCTTTGCGCCGCCGCCGAGTATTGCAGCCCAACGGTCGGTGTTTGGCCAAGATACTTGGCCACCCTCATTCCAGCTGCTACCTGCTCCTCATTAGGGCATTGCACAACCCTTGCAAGCTGCCCGGTAGCAAACCTGATATCCGGTCGTGTGTTGACCGCCGCATACATGAGGCTGCCCACCAACGAGTGAAATCGGCGCCTCTCCTCTTCACCAACCCTCTCCTTCTCTGGTCCCTTTACACACTTGAACTTAGAGGGAAAAAGAGTAGCCACATGGCCTTCACTTTGACCAAAGTTGGCAGCCAATGCCTCCAGGTACTTCCGTTGGTGCACTCGCATGCACCGCTTCTCCACATTACGTCACCAAGTGCCTTTCTCCTGAACTTGTCCTTAAGCTTCAGCATCACCTCCTTTGCAAGTTCAGAGGAGGGTGAGAAGATAAGGATGTCATCCACATAAACCACCATGAAGCTCCTCTGCTCCCCCTCGCCAAGCATGAACAAGGAGTGATCGGCCGTTGAGGGAGTGAAGCCGATCCCCTCCAACACTTCACGCAGTTTCAGGTACCACCACATCGGCGCTTGCTTGAGCCCATAGAGGGCCTTCTTCAACTTCCACACTCTGCCACTACCGTCATCAAACCCCTCTGGTTGCACTATGAAAATCTCCTCCTTAAGAATGCCATTGAGGAACGCGGTTACAATGCCCATCTGCTTCACCACCCATCCTTTGATGGCAGCTCCAGCGAGTAGGGTCCGCAGCATCGTCTGCTTCACCACAGGAGCAAACAGCTCATTGAAGTCCACCTTCTCCTCCTGGTGGTACCCCTTGGCCACAAGCCTAGACTTGTAGCGCTCGATCATGCCGTCTGCGTCTGACTTGATCTTGAAGAGCCACTTGGACGTTATCGCCGTACGCCCCTCCGGTAGCTCCACCAACTCAAACGTGTCATTCTCCTCAATGCTCTTCAGCTCACTCTCCATTGCCTTCTTCCACTCCTCAGCATCACTAATCGTTAAGGCCTCCTTGAGAGTTGCTGGTTCTCCCGGCATCTCCACCGGAGAGAAGAACGCGAAGGCACACTCCTCGTAATCACTCTCCTCGTCGTCTCCGACCATCATTGCCGCTCCGGCCAATGATGTCTTGCCCTGCTTTCCCGGCGCATCATAGGTCAGCCTATTAGGGGGTTGAACTTACTTCTTGACCCTTTCTTCTTCCTCAGCTGCAGGGACTTGAAGGCCTTGGCGTTGCTGCGGTGTGGCTCGGATCCGTGGAGCACTCGTAGTGCAAGAAGGGAGTGTCGGTGCACGCTCGCTCACTTGCTGCACCTCCTCCTCTTCCTCCTCTGCATCCTTGGCCTCCTCTCCCCCATTCACAAGGGAAGATTGCCTTGTGGTGGTGCTGCCGCTGCTCAGCTCCAAAGGCAGCTCCACATGCTCCAACCAGGAACTCTTCACATCTTTAATCCGCAGGCCTATCTTCGCCTCATTCTCCGCCTTCCAATCCTGCATGAACTTGCAGTCCCTGCTCACCAAGAAATTCTTGGTGAATGGGTCCCAAAGAAGCCACCCCTTGCTGTTTTGAGCCATGCCCAAGTGCACGGCCCACACCGCCTTGGCACCAAGCTTGTTGTGCCGAAGATGCTTAGGCACGAGCGCCATGCACATACACTTGAACACTCGAAGCATATCCACTTTTGACTTCCTTCCAAGCCACTCCACATAGTGTACCCATTTGTCTGCTCCCACATGAGTCAAGGCTCTGTTCTTGGCCACACACGCACGCCGCACCACATCAGGCCAGAAATTGTCGGGTAGCCTGGCTTCAATGGGCAACCCGTGTGCCGTCTCCGTTATTGTGCGGTTCGCTCGCTCGGCGATGCCATTCATTGCAGGGGAGTATGGCATGGTAAGGGAGTGCCTTATGCCATTCTTCTTCAGCCACAACCCAAACTCCTTGCTCAGGAACTCTCCCCCTCGATCGGTGCGGATCGACTTCACAAGTCGGTCTTGTTGCCGCTCCACCATCGGCAACCAATCGGTCTTCACCGTTTCAGCCACGTCGCTCTTCTTGGCCAGCACGTACACCCAAGTCATGCAGGTGTAGACATCCACAATGGTGAGGAAGTACTCTGCTCCAGCAGCTCCAAGCTTCAGGGGGCCCACCACGTCCATCACCACCTAATGGATCAAGCGGTGCCTTTGCCGTTGCCTCCGAACTAGGGAACGGAAATCGGGTGAACTTGGCTTGCATGCTCGTTGGGCAGCCAAGCACCTCATTGGGCTCCCCCTTCACACGTATGCCAGAAACCATTTGGTTCTTCACTAGTTGCTGCAAGATGGACAACGCCACGTGCCCCATACACCGATGCAAAATGAGCCAATCACACTCCCTAGTAGCCGAAGTCGGATTGGAGAATGCCGCGCTCGCAATAGCGTCCCACCTTCTCTCTCCATAGTCCTCCTCCGCTGCTGCCTCGGGGTTCTCCTCACCCTTGTGCTGCTCCTTGGCTGCTGCATCACTCTCCTTAGGTTCACCGAGCTTGCTGGTCCCTCCAGGTTTGCCCTTCTTGGGCTCATTCTCCTTAGCGCGACCGTTCGCGCCATCGCCGCTACCAACCGCTTCACCCTTGGTGCTGACGCTTGCTGCCACTTGCCTCTCCTTAGGCATAGGGACCACAGGGATCTGCCACATCTCGTTGTAGACATCCCTGTCCTCGTGAAGGTCCCAAAGAATCCGGACGCCAATCCTTGTGGTGTAGGTCTTGGCTCCCTTCGAGTTCGTGTCCATGCTGGCCTTTGCCAATCGCCGCACAAAAATCAGGTTTGCAGCAAGGCTGGGCACCCAAAGCACGTTCTTGAGGCCCACCATCTTCCCATCAGCACCCTTGAACATGGCCTTGCCCATGCCTTTCACCTCTGCTTGCTGCCCCAAAGCCGATGTGACATGCTTCACTTGTGACGGCTCGAGTTCGGTGAGCAAGTCCGGGCGAGGTGGCATGCTATAGGTAACGCCACTATTGATCACCCAAAGCTCGACCAGCCGGTACTTGCGTCGACACGAAGTAGAATTGACCCGGATATAGATCGTCGCTCGGGTCCTTGCCGTTATCTCCGCTCTTGCTGTTTGCAGCTCCACCTCCGCGACCGCCACGGCCTCCACGGCCTCTTCCTCTCCCTCCTCCTGCTCCTCTACCCTCTTGGCCTTGAGCAGGGGTCCAACCTTCAGGGAGCTTGTAGCAATCGCGCCACATGTGTCCGCTCTTGTGGCAATAATGGCACTCGCCATCAAATCGGCCGCGACCGCGCCCGTAGCTCTTGTCGTCGCTGCCGTATCCGCCACTTCCACGGCCTCCACCGAAGCTGCTGCTACCAAATCTTCCTCCCCCTCATATTCTACCTCTTCCTCGGCCATATCCATGGCTGACGCTCGCTGCCCCAGCGCCATCCGCACTCGCCAACCAACGGTGGCGGAAGTCCTCTTGAAGGATAGCTCGCTTCACGTCTTCAAGCGAGAGACGGGGCAGATCACGGTTCAAGTTAATGATTAGCGAGGACCATGACTCTGGGAGTAGGGCCAGCAACTTGGTCTTCTTTTGGAGCTCACTATAGTTGAGATCCGCTCCTTCAAGCCGCGTCAACAAGTCGAAGAATTTCCGCACCCCTTCTTCCACAAGCTCTTCTTCTTCAATTCGCCATTTGCCGTTCCAACACCACAGCTACCGCCGCTATTGCAGGAGCGTGTACACCCTTGAGAGCAGCCCATGCCTTTGGTCCCTTCTCTGGTTCACGCTGGAATGGCTTGATGTGACGGATTTGACTGCTCCCCAACGCTTGCCCAAGTAGGAGGTAGCCTTGTGCGCTCTTCCGCACCCACGGGCTCCTCTCTGGGTCGTTGTCGGGGCGCTTCTCGGGACGCTTCTCCGTTCCTTCCATCAGCTCTAGCAGATCATAGTGGTCAAACACGTTCTCCATTCTGAAGGACCATTCAGCAAAGTTGTCACCGTTGAACTTTTCAAGCCCGAAAACACTTGGTTCGTCCATAGAAGGTCCAAAAGTCGGTTGCACGGGCGCCGTGGCCGAATCACAAGCTTTGCCTTGTGCTTGGGCTTCTCCATTGCCTCCAGCACCTCTTTTAGCCCTTTTTTCAGGTACAGCCATCATGAACTGCACCATGCAGCCCCACACCCGCGCCAGCGTGAGGTCGGGCTTCGTCCCGGTTAGCAGCTGGTACGGAGTCGTCCCCAGCAGCGTCGTCGACCGCTCCAAGCAGTTGCATACCCACAGTGCCTGTCGTAGAGCGAGGTGCCACCAGTGGTGCTGCACACCCATGTGCAGCAGCATCATTCGCACGGACTCAACGAGCGTGCGCATCTCCCGCTCAGCCATGCTATTCAGCATCATTCTGCGCGGACATGTCACGTCGTAGACGATGCCCTTCCCGTTGACGAAGGTGGTGAATGCTATAGTCACAATAGGCTTCAATGTGCCTAGAACGAAGGATAGAGTGCACAGTCGGATTTCTGCACAGCGGCTTTAAACGTTCATAGCGATCTGGTCAGAGCTCCAAATGACCTTATTCAACTTGTATCTAGAGCGTCTTAACATCGCCTACAAAACGAAATTTAGATCACACGATTTCATTACGATTTGAGATCACGTCCGACGTGGTGACTGTTAACGGGAATGGAGTGTTGGCCCCGCCCTCGCTTGGGCAATGCCGACGACTTGGTCGGATGTACGGGAGTAGCAGCCGACCGTTCACAGTGGGAGAGCTGCTCGACAGGCTACGTCGAGCTGCAGGGGACCGCTGTGGCGTTGCTGTCGACCAGGGAGCTCGACAGCTGCAACTGACTGGTCTGGGCGACGGGTGGGCCGTCGACCAGGAGCGGCAGCTCGACCGGGAGGTCGACGGAGCATCCCGTCAACCTGCAGTTCAACCAGAGGGTCGATGGAGCAGTCCTTCGACCTACAGTTCGACGGGGAGGTACCGACACGAAGCGGAACGGTTCGCGGAGCGGTCCGTCGACCTGACACGTGGGCAGCGGTCGACGAGGGGAGCTCGGCGACAACCGCTGGCTGTTCTGGTCGACGGAAGGGGGTCCGTCGACAAGGGAGATGCTCGACGAGCGACCAGAGTATATGGTGCTCGACAAGAGGCACCTTGCGGTCGACAGAAGCACCTGGTGGTCGACCGGGAGCATCTGGTGGTGTCCAGGTCGACCAGGTAACCTGCTCGACGAGTTCTGCGGAGGCACGCGAACGTCGTCGAGGTCGCGATGGCGAAGGCGACTGCGGGCTGGTATCCCGAAGTCGATGTGGCTCATCAGGCGCAGACAACAGCCGACGGATGCCCAACGAGGCAAGTCGGGCCAATCGTCTGCGCGCACCTGCGAGCGTGCGCACTGCTGTCTTCTACAGGGCAACGCTGGACAGCCGCACTGCTGCAGCGTTGGCACGCCATCGACCTGCAGTGTTGGCAGGTCGCTCTTCTGCAGTGCTGGTGTGGCTCCTCTACGCAACGATGGCAGGCGTTCAACCATGCAGTGCTGGCGGTCGACCAGGCTAGCTGCAGGGTTGCTAGGTGCCTGATGTAGTCATTCTGTCATTGCTTGTTGAATCATTCTGTAATTCCAACTTTGCTAGTGGAAACTCTTGCCAATCTCTCTCGTGAATGCACAAGTGGTAAGGAACCAAGCAAAGCTACGATCACTCCTAGTAGTTCGTGCCAACACCCGTAGTCTAGCTTACTACTGTTGTAGAGTGGATCTCCGCAGTGATCACACGGTTGTCGGCGATGTCAAGGAGCTCCCAGCCCTTGCTCTCCTCCGACACGCCGAGGTGAAGGCCCCACCTGGCCTTCGACTTTAGCTTCCCACCACGCTGCTTGCTCGGGGACGAGGAACTGCACCATGCAGCCCCACACGCGCGCCAGCGACAGGTCGGGCTTCGTCCCGGTCAGCAGCTGGTACGGCGTCGTCCCCGGCGTCGCCGACCGCTCCAGGCAGTTGCGGACCCAGACGGCCTGCCGCAGAGTGAGGTGCCACCATTGGTGTTACACGCCGATGTGCAGCAGCATCGTCCGCACCGACTCCACCACCGTCCTCATCTCCCGCTCTGCCATGCCGTTCTGCTGTGGGGTGTAGGGGCAGGTCAGGTCGTGGACGATCCCCTTGCCGTCCACGAAGGCGGTGAACTCCTTGCCGAGGAACTCCCCTCCTCGGTCAGAGCGCAGCTGCAACACCGACTTCTTCGTCTGCCGCTCCACCAGCACCAGCCACTTCTGGAACTCCAGCAGCACGTCCGACTTCTTGGCAACCGGCCTCACCCACACGTAGCGGGACTTACGGTCCTTCAGCAGCAAGAAGTACAGGCTGCCGTCCTTGGCAGCCACCCGGAATGGCCCGCACAGGTCGATGTGCACGACAGCCAGCACGTCGACGGCGTCGGAGCCCTGGTCGAGGAAGGAGTGCCGTGCCAGCTTCCCGCCGACGCACGAGACACACGGTGAGTCGGCGCCAGTCGTCGACTTGAGGTCCAGCCCAGTGGCGACCTCGTGCTTCGCCGAGCGCAGGATGGTGTCCATGCCGACGTGTGCAAGCCTCGCATGCAGCCTGTCCGGCGTCGACTTCGTCGCCGAGACGATCGCCCGCAAAGCCACCACTTCGTCGGCGTTCGTCATCGAGCAGGGACGTAAGTCGGTGCAGAGGACCCGGCCGGAATACGTTGCTCGACCAAGCACGTCGCCCGTCGCCGAGACGAGCAGCATCCCGTCGCCGTCGTCCTGCAGCTTCACGCCGTGCTCCTTCAACTGTCCGCACGACGGCAGGTTGGCGTGCATGCACGCCCGGGACGTAGAGCACGTCGGGAATTAGCACCCGCTTACTGGCCTCCCCTTGCAGCGCAACCGTGCCCCGGCCCTTGACGTCTTGCAGCGCCCCATTGAAGCCACGTACGTGCTTCACGTCGCCGCTCGGCCCCAAGTCGACGAAGGCGTCCTTCGTCCCCATCAGGTGGTGGAAGCAGCCGCTCTCGAGGAGGACCACCGCCGGATTTGCTTGCACAGCTGCCGCCACCGCCTAGAAGTCCTCGCCGGCTTCCGGCGCAAGGGAGACGGTCGGCTCCACGACGCCGACCAGAGAGCACGACGCCGACTTGTCGTCTCGCCCCTTGCCGCCAGCAGTGGAGTGGCGTCCTTCGCCGAGGTCGACGACTTGGTCGACTGCTTCTCCTTGCGCGTCTAGTTTCCTCCTCGACGTGGACGATGACGACTGCCAGACCTCCCGCGGCCTCCCTTGGCGTCGTCGTCGTCGGAGTCACTACGGTCGGGGCACTCGAAGGAGAGGTGGTCGGGGTCGCCGCACAGCCAGCACTCCCGACGTCGACTTCCTCCTCGACAACTGTCCTTGGTCGACTTCTTCTTACCGACTTCCTTGGCCAGCTTTGAGCCACTGCTACCACCGCCGCCAAACTTTCCACGCTGCCCCGGTCGACCGCCTTGCTTCGCCGGGGCGACGTAGTTCACCTGCGCCAAGAGCTCTTGGGACCGCTCGGCCTCCTGCATCGCCTCGTCCTGTAGGATGTACGAGGTCAATGTGTCCTCGTTGAGCGTCGCCCGCGTGCTCGGCACCATCGGCAGCCGGTTGTAGCTGCTTGGGAGTCCCTGCATGACATGGGTGATGTACGACGCCGTCGAGTACTCCGCGGCGGCCATCCTGATAGTGGAGAGAATCCACCAGGCTCGGTTGCAGTAGTCCGTCGCCGTCGCCTGGTCGCCCATACGTAGGTGTGTCAGCTGCCCTTCAAGCTGGGCGATGAACAAGTCGTCGGTGACTTGGTAAGTCGACTCGATGAAGTGCCACGCCCGGTGGCCGGCGTCGATGTGCTCCCTGCACGACTTCAGCGTGATTTGCACGCCCGGCGAGCAACACCGCGAGATGACCGTGAAGGTCAGCAGCTGCACGGCGCGAAACTCTGCACGCAAGTTGGGGTCATCTGGCGTCACCACGGTACCACGAGCAAAGTTGATCAGCCCGGCCAGCTGGGGCTCGATGGCTTCCTTCCAGGTGAGAATGTCGGGTCGACCGACCAGCAGTGGTGTGACCAAGATCCTATCCGGCGTAAACTTGAAGTAGCCGTAGCTCGGTGCAATCCCGCCTGCTGTCACCTGGGTCGCCGACATCGGCAAAGATCCACTTCGTCGACCTCCGACGTCACCCTGCGAGGAGCCTGCAGCCGCCGACGACTGCATCCCTCTCGCCGGAACACCGCCAACTTCATCCGCGGGAATCACACCACGCTGCCTCGACGACGTACCTCACGCACTGCTACCGACTTGATCACCACCGGCGTCGACGCCGCCCTCGGTGTTCACCGGTCGAGGAGATGCAGGCCGAGAAGGAGGGTGCCCCGTCGCCCATA